CACATTAGATAAATTATTTTTGATAGCCTATTGCGGAGAAAAAAGAGAAAGTTTACTGTATTAACGTTCTATTCCATTAAATACGCCATTTTTCGAAGATAAATGCAGAAAAACATTTATGAACGGCTACGCCAGGTAAAATTGTTGTTTATCCTAAAAAAAAAATACAATTTTCAGTTTCATTAGAATATTATAATAATAATAAATCCCAAATTTATGTAGTCATTAGATAAAGTCCTTATATGTCCGATCTGCCTATTTTTGGACATCAAAAGACAATACGATCGTTTTAAGGTCAATTTCGTCTACCTCACACAATCTTGTTAGGCACTATAATGAAATGGACCTGAAATTAATTCACATGTTTCCTGAAAATTGATAAATATCAAAGCAACATAGAGCTGTTTGTTCTAGTTCGTATAATGACAATTTAATGTCATGTTTGTTTGTGATGACCCCCCTTTTCGGGATTGCATCAGAATTATAGTTATCTCGTATCGCATGAGGATGACACATGTCAACTGAGCAATTATGTTTGGGACTTAGTTTTAAGAAATGATGTCAAAGTAACATTATGAAAATATTTTTAGTAAGCTGAAATATATATTTATTTTTTACATGTTTATGTCTTGTAAGATATTTTATTTCTGTCCCGTTTTTCAACATTTGCGTCTGGAAAGTTGAAATGTTTTAACTGAATGGTTAATTTAAATTAATTATGAAAATGGTTAAAATTAAATCAATAAAGGAAATTATTGCCCAGTTACAAACACTACCAGGGGATAATCCATAATGATTTTTTTTTCCAGTTATATGTTTCAGCACATGTATAATTAACCCCAACTTTAGCCTGGTAAACTTGTTGTCTCCTTGTAAAATATAAAACATATTTAAAATGATTTCCTGCTAAAGTCTTATATTGATATAAAGTTAAAACCGTCTTGCTTCTCACTAGTCAACACTCCTGTCCTGTCAGGTTTAATTCTTATATATATGGATGAAAAATAAAAGTCCACAAAACATTAACATGGCAGCAATTGCTTTTACAGCCTTTAAGACTTTGATTTTTTTTTACAGAAGAGTGTCCACCATGCACTTGCATTACACTATAATAATAGTAGAATAGTATGATATACAAATAGATGAAAATTATATATACATGCAACCGTAATATTAATATAATGTATAACAACAAACCAGTGTATTCTCTGGAACTATTATTATATTAGTATAATAGTCTAAGGTATACTGATTTGTATCACTACAATATAATAGTTATTACGGTGAGGTTGAATTTCCTGTCATTTATTCATCATCCAAGCACGAACTTGTATAAGAAAAAAAAATCTCTGTAAATTAACCTCAGTTTCAGGTATAGAGATGTGATCTGTTTCTGTGACATGTGCTTTTGACCATCCACAAGAACCTGCGGTCATCCGATGTTCAGTACTTCAGTACTTTGATTTTTGTTTGTTTTTGTTTTTTTTTAAATGCTTATTATAAATGAAACTGTGCAAACATTGTTAATGCATAGCCATGGGGATAAGGATGAGGGGCTACAAATTATAAAGGAAAGGGTGATACATTTGTGTCGAGCATTTCAAGTGACACTACATTTCATTAATGCAAGAAGTTCTCCTTTGTTCTGAGTGACGAGACAAGTTGAAACTCGTATAGAGCGAATGTTTGTTATCATTATTCTTGTAAATATTATTTACTTAAAAGTTTATATTATTTACTTTTCAACTGAATTTCTCTAAATCAGATTTCAGTTTTATTTAAAACATTAAGTATAAAATTGTTTGCTAGACTAAGAAAATAAAATTAAACCATCCAAGATGAAATATGGATTTGTATACATCTAATTCTAAGTTACTTAGACGTCTGGCGTAGGAATATATTACTCTGACGGGTTAAGAGGCCATTACTGTGATGGAAATAACATGTAGTTGTGATTTAAAGAAATAACACTCATACATCAGAAGTGATTATAACGTATACAATGGACTATTATAAATCTAGACAAATCTAAATAAGGCTGTTCTATCTCTGATTTATCTAGCTTGTTTTCATGACAGGTGATTGATGGAATTCTGAAAAAGTTTGATCATGATAGCAAAGATAGTATGGTGTCTTTCCAAATTAGAAAATATAATATAACATGTGGGTAGCATTATAAATAGATCATCGCCGAAGAGGAAATTATCTGCAGCTTAAGAACATATAAGGACATGCCTGATTTTAGTGGGTTTTGTGTTGCTCAGTTTTCAGTTTGTGCTATATTGTTGATGATTGCTTCTGATTGTTTGTTTTATTTTAGTGGCGGTCTTTTCTGTTCTAATTAAGTTTTTAATAACGAGCTGATATGTTCGGACTTCCTTAGCCTTGAATTGCCGTTGATCAAAAACTGTTAAATAAAAGTTATTCGTCCGGTTTCGTGCATTCTTTCTATACATTTCTTGTTTCTTCTATCCAATAGAGAAAAGACGAAACATTTATATGGTTAAGATGTCATCTTATGTTGACCTATAGATATTTTAGGGTGTTTTGTGTCGTCGGTTTGCTGTCTCATTGACTTATGCCCCATATATTCTTTATTCTGACACATCTTTTTAGATTATGTACACAACTTGATGAATTGAAAAAAATGTATACATATACATGCGCATAGCTCTTCTATTTTGGCAAAAGGAAAATTCGTGATGTACAAATTGTATACATTGAACGTTTGGTTATTGATTTTTTGTCCGATTTCTCCTTAAAACTGATAAGAGATACAAGACTTAAAGTAACTCAGATTCGCGTTTCATCTACACAAGACCCATCAGTGGCGTTTGAACCAAAACAGTTAAAAATAGAAAAAGGAGAGAAATTGAAGAGCAATGCAAACCAAAAGTTCCAAAAAAAATTTCCCAAACCTGCAAAAGGCCATCCATGTCTTAGGGTAAAGAACATAAGTGTTTCGAATGCTTTTAACATTCTATGAACATTAATTTTACATAAAATGACTGTATAAATGATATTTCATGCCAGCACAGACTGACTATAGGGCTGGTGATACATTCGGGACGAAACGTCCACGAAAGACAGATATTTCAGAATGACATATCCCTGATTTCAAATGATTTGTTTTGAGCGTTCCTGATGGAGGTAAACCCAGAAAAGCTCTTCGAACGCATTAAATTTGTAAAGTGTTTTTTACGTAAAGAGACAGATCCACCTCCCCCAGATTTGTTTCCCAATATGGCCATTTTCTATAAGTTTATCAACCTTAAGGGCATACGATATAGTTTTGATCCCACGGTGACTTTTTTACGAAAATTTGCATACAAGCTATTTTTCATCTAGTCAATTAAAATATGTAATAAAAAATATAACTTCATGAACTACTTTTAGAGATAAATGGGATCGAAATTTCGTACATTTCCTAAAAATTTCAGTTTCTTGAACATATCTAGCCTTTGGACAGACATGCAACTTTTTTGTTTGAAAAGAAAAACACTAGCGGATTTTGTAAAAAGATTTGGATATGCTCTAATTTTGTGTATTAATTATTTGGAAATAATTCATTTTCATTTTAAAAATGTTTATGATTTAAGGAAAACCCGACATTTCATACTGTATATTTATCTAAGTTAAACAAAAATCGGTGGTTTTTTTTTTATAAAAATTGGTACAACTAATCTTCATACATAATCAATCTAAATGTCATTTTTAAAAAGAAGGGTCGATGAACTCTTTTAGAGCTAATGCTTAAAATCAGTCGAATAATGCATCTTTTCCCGATATTTCACAGTTTGACGTCGCGAAAAATAACATTTTACGTTAACTTTAATTCACAGTATCACAGCTCAACCTATGTACTTTATGATTCTTTTCCTGCATATAGGCTATAACCGGAAGTTTGACAGAATTTCGCATATTTTCAGTATTATCTATTCAGTAAAAGTGTATAAAACGTACATTCATAAACCGAAAACAAAACTCTAAAAGGAAGTAAAGTTGTATAATCTTTCTGATACATAATATTGGCATCTTTGAAATATGCTGCAAAACTCTTTAATATTCACATTCCAGTAGGATAAGACAACTTTTATATTTCAAATCTGTGACTGAAACAATTACAGGGAAATTGGCCCTACCTTTTTTATAGCTTAATAGATATATCTTTTTATTCAATAATTATATTTCGCTGCAATATCTTTGAAAAAGTAGGTAAACGTTTTAAACCCGCTGCATTTGTTTGCACCTGTCCTAAGTCAGGAATCTGCATGATGTTCAGTGGTTGTCGTGTTTTGATGTGGTTCATAAGTGTTTCTCGTTTCTCGTTTTTTTTATATAGATTAGACCGTTGGTTTTCCTGTTTGAATGGTTTTACATTAGTCATTTTTGGGGCCCTTTATAGCTTGCTGTTCGGTGTGAGCCAAGTCTCCGTGTTGAAGGCCGTACTTTGACCTATAATGTTTACTTTTACAAATTGTGACTTGGATGGAGAGTTGTCTCACTGGCACTCATACCACATCTTCTTATATCTAAATAAGTAGAAGGTAAGCGTGCAAACTTCCGAGTTCGTCATTTGTATTAGATTCAAGGTCAATCTTTATAGTTTGATTGGATTATGACTACCTTTTGTGTTTTCCTGTCAAGTAATTTTTTCATTAGAATTAAATGTCAAGAAGGCAATTAACCTAATTAAGATTTGAATTAATTCTATTTTAAATCTGAATAAAAGTGATCATGCAAATGAATAGAAATAATAATTTCTGTATTTGCCAATTAAAATGTCGAATGGTAATTACTGATAATTATTGGTGATTAAAATATTAACTATATGCAATACCTCTGGTTAGTTCTTTCGTAACTGTCAATTATTACTCCAAGCTGATCAAATGAGTTGGAACTTGAAAACTCACTTGTCAAGATACTGTGCATATATAATGAATTCAGTTTTGGCTTTAGATATCATTAGTCATTTGGAAAAGAGCAAAAAACGTTATAAAATGGACATTTTAGAAGACAGAGTACCTTTATTGAACTTGGATGACTTTGAAGAAGAGTCGTCTTCTGGTTATGACTCTCCAGTATTTGTATCCGACTCGGAACCTAGTTTGTCATCATCAGGAGGTGAAGCAGATAACAGCAACAGTTGTTCATCTTCGGAAAAAGACATTTCAAGTGAAAGTGATGATGATGGTGATGATTTAGACGACCTTGAAGATCTTGGCGATACTATGCACGTGACCAGTACAGAAACAGTAGTCAACAATATCAAGTACATCTTGTCAATGCCACAACTTTGTGATGTTACATTTGAAATTGGATCACAACGCTTCCTTGTCCATGGTTTAAAGGCAGTAATTGGGTCAAGAAGTAAAGTTCTTCAAGATATGATTCTACAACAGAATAGTCCACAGGTCCAAAGAAAAACGAAGAAAAGCAAAACCCAAAGCATACCCATACATAACTACGACATTGATGTGTTTAGACAAGTCATCAACTTTGTACACACCGGAAGTGTTGTTATGGACATAACTACAGTCGTTGGAATTACATGTGCTGCTGATGAATTTGATGTTCCAGAGTTAAGTGATGCTTGTTGGGAGTATTTGAGACTTTGCTCTGCTACAACAACCAACATCCCCGTACTTCAGAACGAGACCGACAGATATTTTGGTCACCGTGCTGCAAAGAAGATTAAGAGCATGCTTTTGCAGGAAGTGAGTCCACAAAGAAGAAAAGAAACTGCTGTTTGAAAAAATGCGAACAGTATAATATAGTGCTAACAAAATGTAGATAATTAGTGCTTTTTGTGGATTAAATATATAATAATTTTTTACAAACTAGTTTATACTTTTTTTCTTTTAATAAATATACAGATTATGCTGTACCTCAGCGTAGAATATAAAGAACATGTTGTACATCGTTGTCAAATATCCCGACATTGTTGTTTTCCATGTACACATTTGAAATAAAACAGTTTCTTAAAAAGTTGAGCGTTAAGAGTTTTATAGCCAAAGACATGATAGGTACATTGAAAAGGACATAAAAAGAAAGAGGGCATCTGCTGTAAACTTTGCTTGAAGTAATGTGTAAGATTTTTTTTGCGGTGATCATGTAGCGGGGATAAAAAAGTTGTTAAGTAAAAACTCCATTTCATTTTTGATAAATGGAATAAAATAAGTTAGTGCAAAGGACATACAACAGAAATCAGTTTTGAAAAAAAAGAACTTTACACTATAATTACAAGTATTGTAAGCAACAAAAACATATGTTCTCTAAACATTATCATATTAAAGAAATTGCCCGTAGTTATTGAATGTAAACTCAAAGTGCTGAATCAAAATATGTATATGATTAATATTATAAATTGCACAACACATTGACTATTTTAACAGGATATATAAAAATTTACGGAATGCAATGATAAGAGGGTTCGTTAATTCTAAATAGAGTCGTCACATATGTACAATATTAACAATAAACATGAGGTTAAGAAAGCTATAACAACCGACTATAACATTTAAACAAAACATAACAATAAACAGTTTCATCTAAGAAAAGTACACATAAGCAGAAAACTAGTAGCACACATAATTATCAAACAATTTAGCACACATAAGCATCAACTAAAATAACCATATACAAGCATTAGATTAGAGTAAAAACAGAATATGGACCAGAGTCAGTTTTTAAATCTCATATAAGCACAAGATAAAGCAATAAGGTTATAGCTAATTTTGAAATTTACAACAAACAGACAGCCCTATTATAAGCATTATATAAAAAGCAGGAAATAAATTAAACAGATATCGCAGAACGTATGTATATAATTCAGCTATGAGGCAGCAAAGTTTGGTATTTACAGGCACTGGCAGAAACAATTGTCTCCACTGCACAAGTTACAACGTAGATATATAAATTTAAAAATTGTCAAATGAGACATTTTTCTGGCCTCATTTAGGAGTGAATTCTAAAATTGCGCTGCTTCATAACTAAAAGAATTCTTACCATACTTTATAGTTCTGGGTCTTAGTAAATCTACACAGTCCCATATCTAAAATTATACTAATTATTTAAACACAATTACGCCTTCAAAAAAAAAACCCAGACTTTTCTTATTTATCATTTTCAAAGGTCTCCAAGGCAGTTGTTTTGCTGCCTTCGTCTGGTTTTAAGTGACGGTAAATTTGATTTTTCCAGTAATTTTTCATATCAAATAAGGAGATGAGGTATGATTGCCAATGAGAAAACTATCCAACAGAGTCATATGAAGCGGATTCAACAAGGTCATCGTACGGGCTTCAGCAATGACCCAAACCCATACTGTATAGTTAGCTATAAAAACCCCGACATGACAAAATGTGAAACCAAGTTTGTAGACTTATTATTTTGTTTAGTTCTAATTTTCTATTTCAGGCAACATTTGATTTTCTTTCCCTATCTAACACACCATGATTTTCCAGTGGCAGTCAACATTTCCCGCCCTTTATCCTGGTCGACCCCTTCCTTGCACAGATTTCTTATGATTTTATTTGTTAATTTGTTCGCGTCCTGAACGTGCATGAAATATTGCCATTGTAGGTAAAGAAAACAACAGTCAATCAATCTTCTTTTTCTCCCTGTTTCTCGCACCTGAACTTGTCAGCAGTAGTTTCCAGAAACCTCAACTAAGATGTACTTTAAGTTCTACAATGTGTTACACCTGCATGTTTAGTTGTGCATAAAAGTGCTTTGTTTGTGCATGGGGTCATGACGGCCATATACTTGGGGGGAGGGGTATAGAACTATAGAACCCACTGGGAACTTTTGTATTTTCATGAACAAATGTTATAATAACTTGATAACAATATGTGGTAGAGACAGGAGTTATCATTAATGAGTATGGGACCATATTACCTACCCAATCAATATTTCAATATTTTATTGATAGTAATTATCAATGGGAATTTAAAAGATTTCTTATATTGTGTGTTTGCTGTCTCAAAGTCTAATATCGCTTCTTGTGTTATATTAAAGTAGATTCTTTTTACGCAAAATATGGTAATCATTTAATTTAGTTCTACATGATGTACTAAGATCTTGCAGATTAGACTCCATATATAATTTAAAGTGATAAGCACGTAAATTTGATGGCATATACTTACAGGTTTAACTACAAATTCGATAACGTTTTGCTACAATTGTGTTTCAAACAGTATGTGAATTAGATATTGGTGATATGTGTATCTTTGTTTTCTGAGTTCGTTACTTGTTTTAAAGGTTTGTCTACATTTTATGTTAATATTTCCCTCTGTTTTGTTACATGAAATATTTTTAATATCAAAACTGATGCCAAGACATCAATCATCCTAATAAAGCTTGGACATGTTGGAATTCTATTTAATTACTAAATCAAAATTTTCACGTATGATAATTTCTGCATTTGTCTGTTGTTAATTACTTACAATTAACGATGATTAAAACTTTGTCAATATCTCATATAGTAACCGTCAATTATTACTACAAGCTAATTAAATCAGTTGGAGTTTGAAAACTCACTTGTCATAAATACCGTGTATATGAATTATATTGAATTTAGTTTTAGCTCAATATATCATAAAGCATTAGGAAAAGAACAAAATACGTTATAAAAATGGACAATTAAGAAGACAGATTACCTTTGTTGTACTTGGATGACTTTAAAGAAGAGTCGTCTTCTGGTTATGACTCTCCAGTATTTGTATCAGACTTGAAACCCAGTTTGTCATCATCGGGAGGTGAAGCAGATAACAGCAACAGTGGTTCATCTTCAGAAAATGACATTTCAAGTGAAAGTGACGATGATGCCGGGTGATGATTTGAACGACCTTGAAGATCTTGGCGATACAATGCACGTGACCAGTACAGAAACAGTAGTCAACAATATCAAGTACATCTTGTCTATGCCACAATTTGTGATGTTACATTTGAAATTGGACCACAACGCTTTCTTGTCCATGGTTTAAAGGCAGTAATTGGGTCGAGAAATCAATTTCTTCAAGATATGATTCTACAACAGAACAGTTCACAGGTTCAAAGAAAAACGAAGAAAAGCGACAACCAAAACATACTTATACATAACTACGACATTGATGTGTTTAGACAATTTATCAACTTTGTACACACCGGAAGTGTCGGTATGGAATTAAATACAGTTGTTGGAATTACATGTGCTGCTGATGAATTTGATATTCCAGAGATTAGTGATGCTTGTTAGGAGTATTTGAGACATTGCTATGCTACAACAACCAACATCCCAGTACTTCAGAATTAGACCAACAGATATTCTAGTCACCGTGCTGCAAAGAAGATTAAAGCAATGCTTTTGCAAGAAGTGAGTCCACTGAGAAGAAGAGAGACGATTGTTAAAATATTATATTTTTTGCGAACAATATACTTGTGCTTACTTCATGAAGCTACACGGTGCTTTTGTGAAATTAAATTTATAATTCCTTACAAATTAGTTAATCCTTGTCTTTCTTTGGAAAAAAAAAGTACAGAATATATTGTACATCAATTTCAAATAGTTTGACTCCAACAATTAAACTAGTTTAACCCCGCCACATTATGTATGTGCCTGTCTCAAGTCAGGTGACTGTAATTCAGTGGTTGTCGTTTGCTGCTGTACATCATATTTGTTTTTCGTTCATTGTTTTGTGCAGAATAAAGGCCGATAGTTTTCTCGATTGAATTGTTTGACATTTGTCATTTCGGGACCTTTTATAGCTGACTATGCGGTATGGGTTTTGTACATTTTTGAAGGCCGTACCTATATGTAAAATTCTATGTCATTTGGTCTCTGGCGGGGAGTTGTCTCATTGTCAATCTTATTTTTATAGAATAAGTTATAAATCAACGTCAAATATACAGAATTTTAATACCAAAGATATGATAGATACATTGAAAAAGGGCATGCATGAATAGTCATCTATTTTAAACTTTGATTGACGTTGCATATAAGATTTTCAACTATTCATATGGTAATTGATCTACCAAATAGCTCATATTGTACTGTATGTTATAAAATTGTGTACAAATAAGTTTAATATAAAGCGGCAAGATTTGTGAAAATGCAACTTACACGCTCGCATTGAGCTTTTGAACCGAAATAAACATTTAGATAAAAAATAATTGAACAAAACTGCAACACTTGTTTAAAATATATCATTCATAAAAATCATTGACAGTATCAATGAGAAAACATAAAAGTTTTAAGATTTCTTCCTCCATCTTTTTAGAGATTGTCTTTTAGTCCGTCTTCAACCTGCGCAATGCACAAGAAATGATTTACTTAAATGTTTGGAGACGGTATCTGTGATTCATCAATATAATGACCTGTCTGACATGCTTTCATACTACATTCAAATATCAATTACAATCAAAGAAATGGACAACTGTATTGGTTATTCTCTTTTGAAGTGACGAAGGAAATTATACATAACGGGATTATAATTGGTAATTGTCATTGAGAAAAGATAATTATAATTGACCCAAGTTAATTACTAAGCAGCTATATTATTATGAGTCTGATGACCTGCGGTCACTACTTCTATTCTAACACAATCTCTAGTCAAAATGTAATAATTTATTGATAATTTTATCATGAGTTCTAAGATCGTTATCTTCAAATTTAACTCGAAAGAAATTGTTTCTAATAAAGACGTATCATATTGATTATTGCTGATGAACTTGTGAACTATTTTATTAGTGTTAAATTGGAATGTGCTTGAATGAA